GACACACACAGGGACGGGAAGACACACACAGGGACAGAGGGACACCCAGGGGGACAAACGGACACACACAGGGACAGGGGACACACACAGGAACACGGGACACACAAAGGGACAGAGGGACACCCAGGGGGACAGAGGGATGCAGACAGGGACAGGGGGACACCCAGAGGGACAGACACGAGGACAGAGGGACACCGACAGGGACACACACAGACAGAGGGACACGGACAGGACACCCCGGGGACACGGGGACTCTGCACTCACCGGCGCGCTCCGGCCGCTCCCGGGCTCCGCTCCGAGCTCTTCCCGCTCCTGTTTTCCCCTGGCTCCTTCCCTCGCTTCCTCCCCCTCCTCCTCCTCCTCCTCCTCGCCGCCGGCTCCCGCCTCCCTCAGGGCTTTTCCACGGGGGCCGGGGCCGCTCTGCTCCGCTCGCTGTCGCGGGGGGTACACGTTACCGGCGGGGACACGTTACCGGCGGGGACAGCCCGGCGGGGACAGCCCGGCGGGGACACCCAGCGGGGGGTGGCAGCGGCCCCAGGGCCCCTCCCGGAGCTCTTCCCGCCGCCATCCTCCCTCCGGATCCCGGCCCCGCCCCGGCCGCGGCGGGAGGGTGGAACGCGCCGTGCCCTTTCCCTCGCCGGTACCGGCATCCTCCATTCCCGGTGCCGCCATCCCCCAGCCCCGGTACCGCCATACCTCAGTCCCGGTACCGACATCCCCCGTCCCCGGTACCGGCATCCCCCATCCCCGGCACCGCCATCCCTCAGTGCAGGCACCGACATCCCCCGTCCCCGGTACCGACATCCCCTGTCCCCGGTACCGGCATCCCTCAGTCCCGGTACCGCCATCTCCCATCCCCGGTACCGCCATCCCCCGTCCCTGGTACCGGCATCTCCCGTTCCCGGTACAGGCATCCCCTAGCCCCTGTTCCCGTGTCCTCCGGGGCTCCGGGGATGGCGGGTGCCGGTATCCGCAGCTGCCAGCCCCGCACTCCGAATCCTCCCTCCCCGGTTCCCGAATCCTCCAGCCCTGAATTCTCCATCCCCTCTTCCCGGATTCCCCCTTCCCGCTGCCCGCATCCTCCAGTCCCGGTCCCCGCATCCTCCTGCGTCTGTCCCCGCCGCTTTCATCCTCCATCCCCGGAGCCTTCATTCCCTATTCCTGAATCCTCTATCCCCGGTTCCTCCATCCCCTATTCCTGAATCCTCCATCCTCGGCTCCTCCATGCCCGGTTCCTCCATCCCCGATTCCGCTCCCTGCATCCTCCATCCCCTCCGCTCTCATCCTCTATCCCCGGTTCCCTCATCCTCCATCCCCGGTTCCCTCGTCCTCCATCCCCGGCTCCCTCATCCTCCATCCCCGGTTCCCGCATCCCCATTCCCCTCTCCCCGGTTCCTCTCTCCGGCACCCCCGGGACGCACCGGCGGCGCTGGGAGCTCGGCAGGGCCGGGCTGTCCCCGTGCTCGGGGCGGGCGGAGCCTCCCCCGGTGTCCCCATCCCCGCTCCCGCTCCCTCGGGACGCACCGCAGCCTCCCCCCGGTCCCGCACGCCCGGACCCCCCGTGCCCGCTCCCGGTGCCCCCCGGACGCACCGGCGGCGCTGCGGGCTCAGGGCCGGGC